CCCCACTGTATGTAAAGTAAAAAGTGTTTTGTTCTATGCACAGAACAAACCCACTGTGGCGGCTCAGAGATTTGGCAGAACCATTTTGAGTGGTTTGGAGTTCATCCAACTGAAGTCTGGAATGTCTTGTTTTGGGTTTCAACCAAAACAAACTCTGGCCTGCAGTGTGAGTAGAGAGAGGCCAATGAGCCTCACCCCTCTTTGCTCTCCTTCTCCACATGGTCTATATGCTACTTACCCATCAGTCTTCCCAGCACCTTTCTTCCTCCTCTCAGTTGTCGTGGTTTTATACAAGTGTGGCATACCCAGTTGGCCTGCCCCTCTCTTCCCTACCATTTCCTAGCACCTTCCTGTTAACTGCTACCACATGGTGTCCCACCTTGGAACATCTATGCCCAGAATATTGTGACCATGCCTAGACCAAGCACATATTCTACTTCTGCCCAGACAAAACAGTTAGGCTTTAGTCCTGGCATGGACCACCAAACCTCCCATTTCTAGTATATTTGTAAGCATGCTTATGTGGGGGAAAGATTCTGGTTGTGAAATCATCTAATGTGAAAATAATCCTGGTATATAATTGGCTATAACTGGCTTTTATGCATTGAAAACTAGAAAGATTCTAATCCTGGTAGCTGTCCAGTTTTAGAAGCAAGTTTAGAAGCCTAGAAAGAGACTTTGTATGCATGATTATTAAGCTGAAAGCACATAAGAAGAGAATGTTTGCAATTGGCAAATGTCCATGTGTCCCCATTCCTTCCCCCTGCATGCTTTATCCTCCTTTGTCTTTCAAGTATTAGAAGGAAATGCCTTTAAATGTCAAAACTAAACAGTTGCTACCAAATAGGTAGCTACTTCATTATTTTATTACTAATGTTCTTCTTAACACGGAATTTCCATGCTTAGCAGTTCTTCATAAACATTCTAGCCAACAATAGAAGAGTTTTATTAGGAACGGCCTTGTTTATACATTCAGAGTGTTTGTATCCATGATTTTACCTCTTTTAAAGAAAATCTCATTATGCTTTGAGCTTCATGCTTACGAAACCACCCCCGCCAAGTTTAGAAATGTGTATTGATTTTTTAAAAATCATAATTCTTAAATACCATATGTTTTTCTTTCTTTTTTAAAACCAAACACAGAACATACATACTCTGGACTGAAATGCAAATATACCATGTGGTGCACAGTTGGCATAAAGTACTTCTGAAACACTAAGCAATGTGCTTCTCATTCAATGAAAATTGGCCTAAATTGCAGGCCTAGTTTGAAGACGCATTGGGGGTACCCAAATGTCCTATTTGTTCTTCTCTTATCTCCGCATAGAATTCTGTGACACGGAGTGCTCCAGTATACAGTGATAGCCATGGCCGGTGTGGAGTTCGCTTCCTTACTACCTATGACAGGCGGTTTGTCATCAAGGCAGTGTCAAGTGAAGATGTTGCAGAGATGCACAACATTCTAAAAAAATATCATCAGGTGAGTTACATATAGGAAGAAAGTACGATCCCAGGTGTTTCAGAGTAACATGGTGGACATAAGCTGTTTTAGTAGATCTCATATTTTGGGGAACACTTCTACAGGAATTTTCCTATTCTCCCAGCCACAGAGAAAGAAGAGGCTGAAAAGAGATGCTTTCCTTCCAGTTTATGAGACTGTTGTGTGCATGATCTATGAATTACACTGCATCATTTTTATTTAGAAAAAACATCAGATGCAGCTGAGCCCAGAGTTATTTTTTCCTTAATTTCTTTTTCACTTTCCAATTACTGGAAACAGTTGCCATAATTTACTTATATCTTGTGACAAAGAAGCAACTTTCCAAATGGTGGAAAGGAGATCTCAAAAGAAAAGGGTCCATCAAGCCCTTTTGCTCCCCAAGGATACAGATGTATTGGTTTGCATCATGGGGATATTTATTTTTCCTCATCCTTCATTTATTTTCTCCATTCAGGAAGTTCTGGTTGCATTATCCAAGAGCTCCAGATGGATAGTCTCTTATGCGCAACTCTCAGGATCTAGTTGAGTTGAATGGAAGGAGATTGGTCCACTGGGGACAATGGAAGCTTTAGAGCAATAATCAGAAGGTCACCTGATTGCAGAAAATGGGTCTCTCCATGGTAACTGAAGAGATCTGAGCTTAGAAGAATGTGGTTAGAATAATTACTTTCTTGTCATAATCACATTTTGTTCTGGCAAAATGAGGCTCAGGACTGTGTTCCTTATTTCCAAGATTAACCTTTGTAGCAAAACAGTTATGTTTTACCAACATCTCCACCATCCTGCAGATAAGTTTTTGTCCTTTTGGTTTCATTTATTAGAAACAATTTAGGATACCAGGTTCTATTTTGAAATGTTGATAATTTAAAAAGTATCTCAAATGCTCTTCTAAACTTTCTTTCTATGGCAACCCCAAAATACCCTTCCATATAGACTGTATTGCCAGCTTTTAGACTAACACTGATTGATTGTATATTCTCTCCTTCTTTTCCTCATCCCCTTTAGTTCATTGTGGAATGTCATGGGAATACACTTTTACCCCAGTTTCTTGGCATGTACAGGCTTACTGTTGATGGTGTGGAAACCTACATGGTAGTCACCAGGAACGTGTTTAGTCACCGGTTGACAGTGCATCGGAAATATGATCTCAAGGTGAGGATCTCTAAGTTTGGCAACGTCCCATTCTGGCCTCAAAAAAAGTGCTTGCCTGTAAGTTTAGGATCATAAGCAGAGACTAGAGTCTTGAGGTTGTGAAGCAAGTAGGGCAGCGTTTGAAAAATACTATCATTTCTGTGTAATTCACTATGTTCATATGGTTCAGTTTCCTTTTATGAGAATGTTTGTTTTCTCTAAGGGTTGAGTCCAGTACACTAAAGCATGGGTACAGTTTTGGCCTGGTGTTGATTTTGCGTTCTGTAGGAGTTTTACGCTGGAGGAGGAAAGCTGTCACCACAGAGTTAAAATGAGAAAGATTATTTCCAGGTTTGCTGTATGAAATGAGAGGTTGTGGTGTTCACTAATTGTATCATAGTGTTCCTTGACAGTATAGAAATCAAATTTGGTATTCCCCACTGCCACCCCAAATTGGGATTGGTAAGAGACACTGGAGGGTGAATTAAATATTTGTTTTGAATATTTGTGACTTTCTCAGGAATTTTCAGACTAATCATTTGGAACCATTTGGGTGTCAGGGAATCTCACGACTGTTTGGCAAATTTCTATTTGCATGTAATGCAAAGAGCAGCTGCCAGTCAGAAGTGAAATATTTTTGGATAAATTCTTGTGCTGCAAAGAATTTTATACAGTAGTGCATAGATGCACTTGATTTCCTAGATCAAACACGGTGGTAGTCAAGCTTTAAGGCAGTTAGTTTATGGTTCACTGAGACATGAGAATCCAGGTGTTGTTTTAGTATGTTGTATGAACCAGGCTATCCCATAAAGCCATAATGTGTCCATTTATTTGGGCATGTTATGAACATAGCAGTTGTGTTTTGTTTTTCTGGTTTAGATTCAGCATGTTCTTTGAACCCTGCTGGTCTGTCTATGGAAGCATTCTGCTTTCAGCCATGGAGAACTACTGCATTAGATAGGATCACACCAAGAAAGTCCTTTCCTGACTGTTGATCTTTGATATTTCATTTCTTACTCATAAAATCTTAGAGTTGGAAGGGATCTCAGAGGTCATAGATCCCCTTGCTCTGTGCAGCATCAGCTAAACCTGACACAGTAAAGCTTACTTAGTGTATTCAATTCTGGGAAGTGTAATGTTTTCCCAGATAGAACATTTTGTAGTTTAAGTGTTTGGAAAATGGAATGAGGGGGAATAAGAACAAAGAAAGATGCACTGACTTTGCCCTTAATTTATGCATGCGTACATGTGTAATGTCAGGGTTTTTTTGTTTTTGTTTTACTTTTGGCTTTAAATAGGTAATCACTTCGAATTCTTTTCTTTCCCTTCCAGGGTTCAACAGTAGCAAGAGAAGCCAGTGACAAAGAAAAGGTAAAGGCAGCAGTTAGAGAAAGTTTTAAAATGAAAATCTTGGTGTTTTGAATAAACCTATAAAATGTTCCTTCTGTATCAGAACTTGTAATAGGATTAGGCAAAAGGAAGCTCAGTCCTGTATAATACAAGTCCCCAACCCAATATGCTCCTGGAGAGAGTGATAGCACATTTTTGGAAAGTGATAGATTAGGAAAGGTTGTCCTGTGGTATATAACAGATGAAAGTGCATGTCGAGGGACTGGGAAGGTGCAATAAACTATTTGGGTAGCTACCTTGCAACATATATGGGGTAGAATTAGGAAACAGCATGTAATGATTGTGTTCCTATGTTTCATATGATATATTTGCATTTTTTTTCAATCAAGCGTTTATTTTCAGTTTTTAAAAGGAAGCTGCATTTTATAAAAATAGGCCGCATTTGATAATCAAAATCGTATATGAAAACATTAAAGTTTAACAAAATCCGGCAATAATACATAACATTAGCAGCTTGGCATCATATTAAAATAAAAGTATTAATTAGTGCTTAAAACAATTAGCGCTTATCAAAATAAACATTTGTTTCTATTCTGCTGTATGGCTTAAGCTCTCATTTGGGAGAAGCGTGTTTGTTCTAAGCCAAGGTAGAATAGTCTTTTAGTGTTTAAGGGTTGGGGAAATGCATATCAAAAATTTTCAGAAAAGGAGACTCAGTCAAAAGTGGATATTCTCTATCCTTCCATTTCTCATACATACACAAACATGTATGCACAGGCATACATTTAAACATGCAAGGATTGATTGTGGCTCTCCAGTTATACACAAAAACTTGCTAGCAGGTTTGCCTCCCTCTGAGAGTCCTTAGCGTACATTTACTCAGAAATTTCTCCTGTTGGAATTGAGTACAGCGCAGTCACAGCAACCATGAACCAAAGGCCGTTTAAAGAGCATTTTTCCCTTTGGCTCTTCTCCCTTATTATGAATTAGATGGGCACTCAAAATTATTTGCATTTCACTCTATACATCACTACGAATGCCGCTATCAGAGCAGCTCTAGAAGGCACTCTGGACTGCAGTTGAGACAGAAAGTGGAAACAGCAGATACTAGCAGTGAGGGAAAGCACAGTTGGAGGGAATAAGGCAGAAAATGACAAAAGTGGGGGAGATGGTCTGGGGTGCACCTTGAGGAACCATTGAAGGCCACATGTTGGCTGAAGGAGCCATCTGTGAGCATCCATGACCGTAGATGTAAAGAGCAAAAGCATTTATTCCTTCCCCTGCTACTTTGAACTTCTAATTATGTTATTATTGCCTCCATATCCTTTAATGTATTATTTGTATTGGAACTATTACTAGATGTATCAGCCCTCTGCATAGCACTCTAAGCTTTGTTATTATTATAATAGTATTATAGTGTTTATTAGTGTTAACCTAGTTTTTTGGCAGCTTAGTGTATTGTGCCAGCCCACTTGGGTAGTTAAGGAACATAGAATATAGATTAAAACTTGTCCCTCTCTTGCCCCAGTTATTAACTATTAGTGTGATCCTGCAGCACAGTAGGCCCTTAACTGACCCAGTTAACTATGTTGTGTGAATCCAGTCTTTCTTTTTAATAAGGAAAGTGCTTCACTTATTGTTGTTTTGTTGCCTTTCTGCAGTATCGTTCTGAGGTGGGGCAAAAAGTGTTCTAAACTTTACAGAATAAAAGCACTGGAATAGTATTGCATTGCTGGACCATAAGCAACCTAGACAGCCAATAGGATAGGATGAAGATGTCATTGAAGTCCGAACCTGAAGTTAATCCTATAAGCAGAAGGACAGCCCTTTCAAGAGCAAGAAATATGTTTCCTAATCTGGTGAAAGAGAACCAGCTTGGTGTAGTGGTTAAGGCACTAGGCTAGAAACCGGGAGACCGTGAGTTCTAATCCTGCCTTAGGCACAAAGCTGGGTGACCTTGGGCCAGTCACTTCCTCTCAGCCCTAGGAAGGATGCAGTGGCAAACCACTTCCAAAAAAATCTTGCCAAGAAAACTGCATTGATTTGTCCAGAAGCCAAAACTGATTCAAAGGGGAAAAAATGGTGAAAACAAGGACAAGACTGACTTGTCCAGAACTAGGAGTTTAACAACCCTCCTAGTTATGGGAAACCAGGGGGGGTTTAGAATGGATTATGTCATCTTGGAATCCCAAATATGTCCTTGCTGTGTAGCCCCAAGAGGTGGATCAGAAGAACATAGATCAGGAAGATGGAGCTCTGTTTCAAAGAGTTAATTTAATATAAGTCTGGCTGGGAATTTACTCTTAAAAGTTTAAAAGATTCTGGTTTTTACCCTGGAATACCATGAAATATACCTTTCTGAAATCTGTGTGGCTTTGCTTCCTTGGTTTGCCAGCTATGTGGGGCTTGACAACAAAATGGAAAGACCAATTCCTAGGAGGAATCTCTGAAATGCTTTCTTCCTATGGCTCTCACATATGGACTGTGTTGCGTCTTCTCACCTAAATTGCAGTCCTTCTCTACTTCCTTCCCATAGTCTCTCATGAGCTTTTACTTTTAGCCCAGCAGCTCCTCATCAATATTTTAGTATTTTTTTAATCCTTTCCTCAAAGTTGATGGAATTGCCTTTGCCCCAATCTCAGCAAGCAGTGTATTGAGCTGCTTTGGATCACATAATATGAAAGCCACATTTTGCACTTATTTCAGTTCAATCCTTCTCTCTAGGCTAAGGATCTACCAACCTTTAAAGACAACGACTTTCTAAATGAAGGCCAAAAGCTCCATGTTGGAGAGGAATGTAAAAAAAATTTCCTGGAGAAATTGAAGCGAGATGTTGAGGTAGGGTAGCTAAGCTGTTGGTTTTTGGGAATGGGGGCATGACTAAGAAGTGGGATCACCAGAGAGTCTCCATTGTTACAACAATTTTCAAGCTGTTTAAAAAGCTAGATAGGGTAGAGGTATCTAGTCGACTCTGTCTCACAACCTCATAATCTAAAATGAATCAGTTAAAAAAAAGCAAGCAGAGAAGAATTTTATTTGCCTGCTACTGTGTCTTGCATTCAGCTTCACTTTGGAGATTTCCTCCTCCTTCCAGCTCAAGAGTGACATTGTAGTTCAGTTTTCCGTAACTTCCGTAACTTGGGACCTACAGAAATGAGTGTTACTCCTACAACTCCCAGAAGGAGTCTGGTAGCATCATCTCTGACTAACAAGCTTTATTAGATTTTTTAATTAATTTAAATTTAAACAGAATGCAGACCTCAAAGTGCAACAAACCTCAAAGTGACCATTTTGGAAAATTGAGACTTTTAACAGCACCACTGAGTAAGAGTGCTGAACTCATATACATCAAAAAGTTTCAGGCAATCTCAAAATGTTTCAACGAATACAGTGTTTTCTTTAACACATTACAATTGTTAATTGATTAGGTACTTGCAATCTGTCTCACGTGTAACTTGTACTTGCGCAACTAGTCTTCTTCTACCTCATCTCATTTTAAATCCTACATCAGTCTAGCCACTCCACGCATTTGATGATCAAACTCACAAAAGTTTATTAAAAGCCTTTTAATAAAATTTGTTAGAAAAGGTGCTACCAGACTCCTAATTTTTTTGCCACCATAGACTAAAAAGATTCTCCCCCTATAATCCTGAAACCCCAAGGATTCCAAACAATCATGGAAAAAAGCCTTGAGATTTGTGGGATTTTGAGTCCCAATACATGGAGCTGGTACCAAGTAAAGAAAGATAGTTTAACTCAAATCTTGAAGGTGATATAGAGTCCTTGAAAATGAGAAGGAATGTCTTTCTGTTGGCTTCCAGTTTCTTGCACAGCTGAAGATCATGGATTACAGTTTGCTGGTAGGGATTCATGATGTTGATCGGGCTGAGCAAGAGGAAATGGAAGTTGAGGACCGGGCAGAAGATGAAGAATGTGAGAATGATGGCATAGGTGGGAATCCAATTGGTTCCTATGGGACTCCACCTGACAGTCCCGGTAACCTTCTCAACTTCCCACGTTTTTTCGGGCCTGGGGAGTTTGATCCATCAGTGGATGTCTATGCTATGAAAAGCCATGAAAGTAAGTGCTGGGATCTGGATGCTGGGAGTGGGAGTGGAAGACAAAATGTAAAATTGTCTGGTAAAAGCCAGAGCGTTATCCTCTGACTGCAAGCATTTACTGATATGTAGTGGCTATTTGAATCAACATTGCTCGCCCCACTTTCTTGGAAATCTTAAGACTGTTTGACTCCCTGAACTACAATATATCCACTAAAACTGCCTTAGTTACAGACATGACTTCGAGTTCTAATCCTCCCCTGTAGTGTGCAGCCACGGTAGAGGGTAGGAATGTCTGTTTGAGAGCCAGGTCAGAGTTCAGACAGAGCTCACTTATATCCTGAAGAAATTTAAAGCACGATCAAGAATAATTTGAAACACAGAAGGGTTTGTGATGGAGAAGATGACTTGAATGTCTTCCCTAATACACAAATACCCAGAAGATCCTCATGCCCTTTAGCAGCATTGTCCAGTTGTGACACTGTGCCTATTTATTTTAAATAGTCCTGTTCCACAAAGTTTGAAACAAACTGATTTCCTGTCATGTGCAACATAGTTGATGAGAAAAGTGCTCTGCATATACTCAAATGAGCCACTTACTTCTTCACCTGCTTCCTCAATTAATATTTTCACTAGTATGTTATGGGTACTGTCTGAAGTATCTGCTGAGTGAAAACATAGTTCTTGGCTCATTTACCTAGCCTGGAAATTTCTGGAGTGCTTTAATTGTACTTGCAGTTTAGTAAGAATAGCAAACCCTAAAAACAATTCTGTGTCCTCCAGCACTGAGAAATTTCTGTCTTGTTTTAATCAGGTGCCCCTAAGAAGGAAGTATATTTCATGGCCATTATAGATATCCTTACACCATACGACGCAAAGAAAAAAGCAGCGCATGCTGCCAAAACTGTGAAACATGGGGTAAGAAGGAGTTATTTCTTTTCTTTATCCTCAGCGTGCTTAGCCAAGCAATTCCATGAACTTATGGTGGTGAGAAGCAGCAGTTAATACGTTTCAGGACAACTGAAGCCACAGTTGGCTGAGCAATGATGCAAAATTGCAGAAGGGAGGAACAGAACCGTTTCCTACATGCATTAGTGGGGCTGACATTTCCATTGGGTTTTTAAGAATGTTTTCTTTCAATATATTGTTTGGGGTTACACTACAGTTTTTACTTGTTTCTCACTCAGAATGATAGCAGTTTTTCAGGAGTTCTGGTTGCAGAAGGTTCTGGAATTTGCAAAAAATAATGAAAAGTTGGGATAGAAATTTTGTGAATAAAAGCCATATACCACCAGAACACCTCAGGTTGTCCACTTCTACATCAGATGTTAGGTTCCAGTGGTTCAAGTATATGTGGATCACCATTTTGATTCTCATTTAAGTAAAATCCATCACAGTCTTCCATTTTCTAATCATTTCGGTTGTCATTTTCTGACCATTCTACAGCTTCCAACTGTACACATCAGGAATATTTCAGTGTGACCACACCACAAATACATTTCGATTTGATTTTTCTGTTGCTCTGTCTTCTGTTTCTAATGTCTATTCCTGTGTCTTTTTTCCCCACTTAAGATATGCCCTTTCAATGAATTTTTTGCCACTATGCATGCCTTCCTTCTTAAATAACCTTGTCCAATTCAGCTCTACCCATCAGAGCCTCATCATCCATAGCCATAGGTTAGAGAATGCTAAATGAGGGCCAGTGTGAAAATTAGGATTTTTCAAATGAAATCACTGAAAATACAGAGTTAAATCTGCCTTGAAGTCACAGAACTGTCTGTGAATTCTGTCAGCCATTCTAAGTTGAAAACAGTTACTATTATCTTTTCCCTGTATCTAGAATACCAGATCCTTTGGGGGACCTGTTGGGATAGTTTTTCCTTCTAATCCTGCCTCTTCTTATGATTGGAGTCAGTCAAGGGGGACTGGACTTGTCTAGCTGATGGGATTCACCACTCCACCCCTCCTCCCGTCATGGACCCTGTGCAGTTGAACATTCTGTGCACAATCGGTGCAAAAGAATCTTTGGAACATTCTGGAGCTAGAACTGAGGCTGGTAGGATAGCAGACAATGTCTCCTCCTTCCAGTACAGTGTACCTGTTCAACTGGGCAAGATTCAGTGCCTTTCTGCTCAGTTTTTCTTTTTTCTTTTCACCTGCCTCAGCAGTCATTTTAACAGGACTCTTGGTCTCCTGAGAGCTTTTTCCAATTAAGTGGTAATCCCAGTTTTTTGCTGGGCTGTTCTCTGGCCTCAGCCCTTCATTCTAATCTAGCAGTATAACAATATACTTTGAACGTTTGAGCCAGTGCTGAAGTCACCGTTGGGGAGGTGGTCCTTCTCTTTTCATTATCCTAAGGCAGGCTGCATCTTCTTTCAAGCAAGTGCCTGCACAAAAAGCACGAGAGAGAGGATGGGTAACTGACTTGTAACCACATTTTTCTGGTGGCTATATAAGCAGCTGTCCAGCTGTCCTGCCTCTCTGCTGCAGGTGATTATTTGGCTCTCTCTGGACTGAGCAGAAACTCAGGAAGAGGGCTTTGCCCCTTGGGACATGCAAACTGGACTGGGTCTGGAGAGTGTTCTCTGCTGCCAAAAAAGGCTAGGATGGTCAGATGTTTGATGCAGATTTTTCTATATATGTGGCCTTACAGATGACAACTCAAACCTCAGTTACAGATGAGCAATTTTTCTTAATATATGTGCGTGGATAAGATGCAGTTTCCATTGTTGGTTTCCCTCAAGATAAGCCATCATTTCCTCCAGATTCTGTAGAGGACAAAGCAGTATAGGACCATTTGCTACTTCTCTGAGTTTGGAAAACTTGGGGCAACCTCTTTAACTGATGTCAGTTCTTGTGCTTGAATGAAATCACATGTGCTTTAAGTTCTTTATTTTATCTTCCAGGCTGGAGCAGAAATTTCCACTGTCAATCCTGAGCAGTATTCGAAACGCTTCAATGAATTTATGTCCAATATCCTGACATAGTTGTCTTCCCATTGTTGGCAGAAAAGGAGGGAGAAGAAAAGTAGAAGGGGGGTATTATTTCCAGTGCTACAGAAATGCAGCCCAGTCTGCTGGGTATGATGTTCTGAGAGTTGTGTGATGACAGTGTGACCTAGCAGAATACTAACCTCTAGCTGTGGGCCTCCAAACCTGGTGGAAAATGGGACTTTTTCTCTCTTCTATTTTGGTTGCTACAATAAATATCCAAACATAAACCTGAGGAATAAAGTAGTGTTAAGATCTGCACTTCTTTTCCTTTGAAAAGAATCACAGTCTCCAGATGGTCAGATGTTAATGTGAATACATAACAGAAGTTATAAATGATGGTTTCCTTCGATTGAACTATGGCTCTTTACTGAGCAAATTGTTGCTTTCTCTAAGGATTGAACAAGAAATGGCCTGCCATTTCAAGGACAAGAACTGTTACAATGATGCAGGAAAGCCATTTTAAGTCAGTTAAACGAAGACTTTTTCCTTATGGTCTTTTGATATCCCAGTTTCTTTTCTGCATTGATTGTCGTTTCAAAAAAAGTTGAGGAATATGAGGGAATAAGATGGCTGCTTAAAATTTTATGCAAATCAAGGGAGGAAAAAAGCAGTTTCAGAAGAATCCACATTTCTAATGGGATGTGATAACAGTTTCTTGGTGGAGATCATGAAGAGAAGGTGAGATAACTACATGAAAATAATCTCTTGATGAGTTGCAAATACATTTGTCTTGTAAAGTTGGATTACAACCTGGATTAAGTTATCTCTGTAATGTAATGATCTACCAGTGTTAAATTATTCATGGTTCAATCTTTTATACCTTGATCTGGTTGTATATGCTATAAGATGATATTTTCCTGTTAAAAAAGGTACCACTTCTTTGCAACATCTTATGCTGTGAACCACTGTGTTAGAAATATGTTTCCCTGCAGCTTTTGATCATTCCATGTTGGGAAGAATCCATTCTCAGAATATGGGGAAAATGTAATAAATAAATTGCTGAAACTGACTGCTCTTAACCACTAGGACAGATTGTCCTGCTAATCCAGATTGTTGGAATAACTTGCACTAGCTCAGTTTTCTTAAAAGAATTCAAACTGTTCTTGCCCCACTTGAATTACAATGTTTTTGTATAATCTACAGACTAATGTTGGATATCACAGCTACACTTGTCAAAACTGCTGAAGGTTTTGAATTCTACTCATTGATTCCATGTTTTCAATATTCTTGCTATGAGGAGGGGTTGTTTGTAGTTTTCTTTTTTAAAAAAACGGGATTTGGCAGATTATGAACCATCAACTTGCGATCAAGACACCTTGCTTGCTCTTCCTGAAAGTGTATCTCACACATGCCTTTCTTTTGAACGTGACTGTTGGGATGTTTATGTCCTGTGCCTTCTGCTTTGTGGGTTCTGTCTTTTTGGGAGTATGGTAAATGTTTTTTTCTTTCTTTCTTTGTTCCCCTCAACTATGTGCTCTCTTTCAGATGGGATTTTTCCCATTTATAAACAAACAAAAAAATCCCACAGTTACTCTGCAATTCCAAAGTCATAGAATGGTTTATAAAGCTTAAAAAATCATGGAATATGCTGTATATAGCATAAGATTTTGTTAAGGCATAAATGAAGCTATAAATTAGGAATGGGATTTGAAAGTCCTTTTTCTTTTCACCTATGACTTCAAGGCAGATTTCTCTTTTGTTAGAAGCCACTGTCCACAATGTTTAGCTGTCCCAACTGATTATATCATAAAGTTAGTGTGACTATAGGAACTTATTTCAAAAGGCAGGCATGGGTATGTTGATATGCTGTAAAGTTTTTGAAAGTCAAAGGATAATTGTGCACTTGAAGTCCAATGTGAAATAGAACATTTGATGTACCCTGTCTTAGACTAAGAATTTCATTTTCAGCTCCTTTTATTTTAATTTTACAAAGTAAATTTTGATTAAAATTGGTAAGCATTAGCATAAAATTATCTGTTTTTAACATTGTTGGCAAATATTTACCAACCTTATTTAGGAGTTAGTCACTGCACAGTTTAAAAGACCATGAAAAGACATGTTTCCTGGTTGATTCATTTACAGAAGAAGACATGAGAAACAGCCATAATGGGCACTCAAACAGAAAGAGCAAACTCTGAACCTTTGCCTATCCTTATTTTCTGTTCCCTATCTCCCAGGCCTTTGCCTCTCTCATCTATATCTGTCCTTTCTCCAGTTCTTCAGTCCACTTGCATCTGAAGTTTTGTTCTTTTTGTCTTCAGCTTCCCTCCTGAGCACGTCGGTAATGCCCCAGTCTTTTTCTCCCAATCCTATGACTTGCACGAATGTTTTGTCTTGCCCCCAGCCACCCTAAAACCCAGGTCCATATGACTGCATTGGTTTCCTTTCCATCTGAGTCTTGGTGTTCCTTTCTTTCTTGATCAATATGCCTGGAGGGCAGAAGCCTGCCATTTATTTTTTTGTGTGTGGTAAAGCCATGAGTGTTAGTATATGAAATTACTGTAGTATAGGCTATAGGAAATCACTAGTTATTCCACGAAGCACATTTAGCCATGTAAACTATTCCACAGGATTGCAACTCTGCTGCCTGTGAGCATTATTTTCTACAAATGAAAGAAGGGTAAATTGTTTTTTGACTTCATGCACAATGGTGTCCAGACAAAAGCAACCCAACCCCTCAAAGCTGCTACTGGTTCATTCAGGTTCCTCTATTCTGTGCTCATTGTTTAAAGTCCTTGTGTTTGCTTTGCACACTTTGTGCTTAGATAATGAATTTGTCTTTTACTCAACTATCTCTCAAGGTGATTCAGAATATATCCCTGAACTCACCTTTAGATCCCTGCTTGATTTTTGCTTTCTATCATACGTGCCATTGAGCTGTTAGTCCTCACTGCTAAAATTTTGCCATTTATTATTACATCTCCTCTTTGCCATCTCCCACTCCCACATTTGTGCCTTTTGCTATGCTGGCCTCTATCAGGAACTGCATGACTCCCCTCTGAACCTGTCTCAAAATCCTGTCTCAGCAAAGGCGTGACTGGCTTTTGCCTCTAGCCTGATTCCATCCTTTCTCTACTCTGCTGTCTTAATATTCAGCCTCTGAGCTCTGCCCTCAGGTGGTGCTTGCATATGATCGTGTAGTCATGTTTTGCAACACTTCTGTGCACCAGCTGTTGTGCATTGGAACTGCTATGGAGCCTTTCAGATTGGTTTGCTTTCTGGCTGGTTCTTGGGCTGCGGGGGACGAGTGTGTCCTTTTTTTATCTGATGTTCACAGTGTCAACTACAATTTTCTTTACAACCTTTCCTGTAGTACATTTGGATCTATTAACGGATGTGGGGTTATATTCCCTCAACCATTTGCTTAATGGAGAAGTTGTTCAATGACTTGAAATCTTCAAAAGGTACAGAAGAAGCTAGGTGGGGAGGCCAAGAAGTATGTCATCAACCTTTCTACGGCAGGTTTCCCCTTGAGATGCTTTGGTCTACAACTCCACAAAGAATGGGATTTATAGACATACATCTGGAAGGTACCTGTTGGGGAAACTTGTTACTTACCCCCACACAGGCACGTGAAATCTACTCACTGGGAATTTCTACAACTTTATCATGCCTGTTTCTTGCCATTCACTTCCAAAATGTTAAACTGAAAAGTATATTATGTGGAATAAGCATAAATGGACAGAGTTGCTTTTAGAATTGCATGATATTGTTAATGGAAATGTTTTGCTTCCAGGAGACAGCATTAGGATTTTTCCCTCCTTATGAATGTATAAATAAATCTGGCAATGCATAAGAATGATGTACAAGGTGAATTTTGATCAAGGCATTGCCTGTAATGCTACAAGAGAGATGGGGGAAGAGGGACACATTCCATCTCTTCAAAGTATTGTTGCTAGTGTTGGCAAGGACAGCTGTGTTTGGATCTAGAGCTGCTGATCAGTCTTTTGTTCTTCCTTTGGAATTGTTCCTGTCTGCTAAAAAAAAAAAAAGAAATCCTTGTTTGTCATTAGACACCCCAGATTCCTCCCTCACTGGTATCCTTAAATACATCACCCTACAGTTACAGCTAGTGCAATTTTTTCCTCTGTAGCCCTAAGGATAGCATTGGCAATGCAATTTTATTTTCAGTTCAGCATGTCTAAGAGTCCTTTTTAAACTCATTCATGTGCTCTTCTGTCCCAGGTTTCTTGTCATTCCTGTAAAGGGCATGCAAATTGGCACGATTTATCCATCAGCTTATTATTCCGGAAATTGTCCCCGCTCTTTGTTTTGTTGCAGAAGAGCCCATGCTGGATCAGAAGCAGATGAATACTAAACTGCTATCTGGAGATTTGGCAGTAATTTATGGCCATTTGGTGCATAGAACTGTAATTTTGTTTTTTCTGGGCCAACTACCTTGTTTGGAAAGCTACATCCTTGGTCATCAATTCATGCAAGGGACTGTCAAAAAGCTACTCTTTTTCTTCTCAGTATGCATCTTTTGTTGCAGCTGCAGTGACCCCAAAGTATAGCTAACACATTACAGAAAGGAAGTACTTTCTCATTACATCTATGATTTTGTCATTTTAAAAATATATATTTGAAGATGGAGCAGAATTGTGACTTATGAAAGTTAGTGACCAGTTTGGAGGATTTTTGTGCATATGTGTTAGTCTTTTCCCGAGTACAGACTTACACATGTACATTCTCAGTTGGATCACGTCTAGCCAAAGAATGTGTGTTGTTGATGGTAGTCTTAGCTTTCTTCATCTCCTATCTTATGGAATGTATTCCATGGTAGCCTTCCCCAACTCAATGCCCTCCAAATATATTGTACTATAGTTCCCAGTATTGTTAACATGCCTGTTCTAAGGTGGGATGGAAATTATAATCCTAAAACAATTTTTATAGTCATCTAAAAAGTTCATCCATCTTCAGAGGGAATAATATACTAATAGTTTCAGCTTAGGCTACCAAGTTTGAGGAAGAAAATCTCAACTTTGTTCAGTGTATAGTGACTTTCACTGCAATTATTGATGTATCCCCACAGTCTTGTTACTACAGGTGGTTACATCCAGGCAGTTAGGCTGGAATTTCCTGCACTGGAAAAAAGATGAATGTGGGATTTCTAAGGGCTAAACTGCAGTAGATGGTGACAATCATCTTTAACCATGTCTATTCTGTTCATGTGTAGAGGAGGGGCTAGAGAGGGTATCATGTGATCATTGGAAAGTACTCAGATGAAAATGGAACCCTCTTATTATAAATACACATAAATATTGATGGTTGGCTATAAGCCACATGGTCAAATAAAGTTTGCACTTCTTCATCACCTAAGTCTAAGTGTGAGAGCCTGATATGAGTGTGTGCAGTGCCATCCCAGGCAATCTTTTAAAATTGTATTGTGAAACCAGTCCATATATTACTAAACAAGATAAAGGAAACAAGGCACTTCGGTTTAAGCTACTGTTTTTATCAACCTCTTCATAACTGTATGCTTGAATAGCATATGGAATATATTCAACATATGAATATATATATTCATATGGCGTTTAAATGTATCATAAAAGTTCAAGCAGGTACATACCTGGCAATGACAAATTTGAATCTCAAACTAAGAAAAAAAATTAGGTTTTCATACCTTTTTAAAAATAGAAATTTAAAGTCCAATGTGCTTATAAAGTATGAGACACTTAGTGTTTTGAAATGCATGCATGTTACAAGGTGAAGTCTCCCAGGTGGGTTGAACAAAATAAAAATGAAACTTTTGTGTAAAACTGTTTTCAGGGGTTTTTTTTCCTCACAAAATGGGCAGTTATAGGAGTAATAACTGGACACATCTGGCTCAATATGTGCTGAAAATATATAAAGAAATTATTTTTATTTAGGTTTCAAGAATCACCATTTTGGGAATAGAGGCCACAACTGTTATGCAAGACATACATTTTGTAACTATTTACTAAAGCTCTAGGCTGCAGTTGTGTGAACTTGCAGGAGCATCCAAGAAGCCACTGGATTGATGGGTTTCCTTTGTGAAGTTAGAGGTAAAAGAGTTATGCAGTCTCTCCTCCCAGTTTCAGTGGCTATGTTTGAAGGTCAGGAAACTCGCAGCTTCAGAATGTGCTAACAGGCATGGCAAGGACCAGGGATGGTGGGAGAAACTAGCTCCTGCCAAAGGGTCTCTGCCATTCCCCCTAATCAGCTGAAAATGTAAATCAGTATTACCATATTGCCAAGGTAGTCAGTCCTTGGTTAACTATGGTAATTGGGACCGGGAACTCCGTTGTTAAGTGACGTAGTCATACAGTGCAGTGTCACATGACTGCACCGACAGTAGTTCCAGTTGTGGTCATTAGGTGCAGTGTCATGTGTTCACCATTTGCGACCTCCTGCTAGCTTCCCCGTTGACTTCCCCAGTGTTGGATGCCAGCAGTGAAGGTTGCAAATGGCAATCATCCCATGTGACCATGGGATGTTGCAACTGTTGTAATTATGATCTGGTTGCCAAGCACCCGAATTGTGATCGTGACCTCAGGGATGCTGCGATGGCCACAACTTCAAGGAGAGTTGTCAATGAACAAATGGTCATTAACCGAGGACTACCTGTGTACTCACAGATTAGCCAAGAATTTCAGGTGCTAAAATACACCCCCAAAATTGTGTTCAGTTTAACCGCAGATGGGCTTATCCACGAGACTGTACAGTACTTTCTTGCTCTTCCTATCCTACAGCTTTCAAGTCAGCAGATAGGGTGTCGCATTTCCTGGAACATTCCAAAGAGAATTTAGGTTTGCTGTGTCCATTGATCCAGTCTGCTCATTCATCCTATTGACAGCCCTCCCTCCAAATGCTGGCCTCTTGCTTCACAGCAAGTTGAGAAAAAAGGACTTGATGTATCCCCCACCACTTAAAAGCTACCGCCATTTTTTTACTTTCAAGAGAACTTCAACAGCACACTGAAATCAACGGCTTAGTCTAGAAGGAAGTCCTGAAATGAATGTGAGATGTTTAAGGGCATCATCTATTTCTGGTTATTTTATAGTACAGTATTTGGGGTTTTTAAAGCCATATATTCTAGTGCACTAAGGAGTATGAGATTTTCCACTTAACTAAGAAGTGAGTTTGGAAAGCTAAATATGAGCTGTTTTATGGTAGGCCTGAGAGATGTTCAAAATTACATTTTTACTGAAGTTTTAAACACATAATGTTTAATGTGAAGGCAAACAGGTCTTGGGCATATCCAATTTTTTTTTTCCAGTTATGAATTCACCTTTGAAATTAAGGTTTCCTGCACAGACATTCAACTCAACAAACATCACCTTGATCTTGTCACCATCTTGTTTTAAGTGCACATTAACAGTGCAGTCTATATACATACAGTATTTGGGGCCAAAGCAGGAAAAGGACTTTGGCTCCACCACCTTCACTGTACTGTTGGGCAGCTCCTTGGTGACTGCCTTGCCACCACTACCTAAACTCAAATGTATATTTTCCTACACCTGCAAGTTTACTCTGTGACCCCAGGAAATGGCGTGGCTCTCCTCCAGCTGGCATGGAGAGGATGACCAGGTCAGACCAAAGTGAGATACTTTTGCTCACTTTGGCTATCTCTACTACAGTCCTACTCAAGTCCACATAGTAATAGGTCTCACTGAATTCAACAGAACTTTTCTCAAATAGCATCAGTAGCAGTATTTAGTGTAAAAAACCTTAGATTTGAATGCTAATTTTGGCGGATATTATTCTTTTTTTTAAGGTTTATCATTTACAGATCAATTAGATATGACGGACAGGTTACATTATTATGTCATTATTTGAAGATTATCTTCATCACACCCACACTTTAACTTTGATTTTGAACAGATCAGAATATGTACATCTACATAAAAATGAAAAAAGTAGTGCTCTTAGAATAAAAAGTTTATTCCACTAACAGTACACTATTTCCTTTCTTGAAAAAAATCACTGTTTCCTTAGTAGGAATTTAATTTAGTCCATGCGAGCTTTCAGTGTCCTGGTAGTTATCTTGTCTTTCTCACTGGTGAAAAGAGAAAAGGAGGAGAATCACAGATGAATAACCATACTATTATCTAACAGTGTAAATCTCAATTTTATCCACTCAGCAGACAAAAGAGAAATCTACAACTACAACTATCAATCGTTTCTCCTGTGTTGCCCATAATAACACTATACCCATCCAGAGGGAAAGACAGATTAATTGTGCAAATAGTTTCAGTGACAGCTACCCTCCTTCCAGGCAAGTCACGAAAATCAACCAGAGAGATATTGTCACACATAATTTTTTTAGAACTGATCCACAATCACTCAGGTTCTACTTACATCACATGGACTATCACACCCATACCCGACACAGCATCTCTGTCCACAGCATTGAGCATGGATTGTCCTATCGTTTCAAAGAGGTGATCAGGTTCCTGCATCCAAAAGAAAAAGAGTTAATTTTAGTTATAAAGAGTTGAGTTCTTTTTAAGTGTCTGTTCAAACTTGGATGAATGTGTTGAGTATAAAAAGAATGTAGACTGAAGGAATATAGACATATTGTCTCAACAGTTTGATAATGATGGAGAGGTGAGAAACTACATACAGTGGAACCTCAGTTTACGAACTTAATTCGTTCCGTGACTCTGGTCGCACCCCG